CGCTACGTAACAAGCGCAATCATTACAACGACATGCCGGTACATCTCAAGGCACACATTGGCGGCTTGCCAGAGGGGTACCTGAATTTTTGGACCGTTCGGTTTCCCAGTCTTTTGATGAGCTGCCATTCGGTCATCGTGGAGTTGCGTTTGACGAAGATTGACCGGTTCAAACGATATTTTACTCCGGTTGAGTAGATTGGGTCTTTTGGATGATTTTGGAGTATTTGAGATATACTTAGACATTTACTGAATATATAAACCTTGATCGTTCATGATGATTGTAATGGGACATGGCGGCTGCCTCGCCTGCGGTTTGTTTGCACGGAGACATGTCACAAAGCCCCTGACCAATGATTGACCCAAAATTCTCCACAGACCTAGTATCAGTCACTGCACGATATCCGTCTCTGCAGAATTCGACATCTGTCACATTTCTGTTGAGGGTGACCCTGTAGTTAAACTCTGGTAAATCTTGGTGGCTGGTGCAGGACAGTGGAGCCAACCAGGCGGTTCCTTTTTTAAAGTGTTCAGTCGCGTGGGTCACCGCGTTTTCTCCATGTCGCTTCTCACGTTGCTGTGCCTTCACCAGACACCATCTTTTGTGTTGCTCACTCTTCAATGTTGAATATTCTCTAAGCTCTCCATTGTGTTGCTCTGCCTACTACACATTCATTGACCCAGCTATTGAGCAATTCAATCCGCCATTTCCGCGCTCTACAACACCGACGGAAAATCTTCCCATCGCCTCATTCGATTGTTCGCTATCTAGAGAACCTACGCAGTACCTAATTTACATCCGTGCTCGCATTATTATGATACTCTGTGATACTTTCGCATAGCGACTTCCACTTCCATATACCTGTTCCCCGGAATGGTTTTCCTACGTCTCACGGTCAAGGTCTACCCCCGCGAACAGACCCAGTCCTCTTCGTCATTTTCGACCCGCTCGTTCCTAGGAGACCGTGACCGCGATGCTTCGAGTCAGAACTCTGGACCGACAGGGGGGAAGCCGGCTTCCTTCCTGTTGGTCCTAGAGAACCCCGAGGAGGTGACGATGGGTGGATTGGCGGGCATGATCCGGGAGAAGTGGGCGAAGCTGCGGCCGAACGCTGAGTGAGTGCCATCCGTCCTACGAGATTGAATTTGGAAGAGATATGGTGTTGTCGAGCAGCGCTTACGGATATCGTGACTAGGCCCCTGGAGATCAAGAAACTTGTCGACGACGAGCATGACTCCGACGATCTCGATGCCGAGTTGACCGTCGCCGATGTGTTTGTGGATAATGGTCGGGCCCGCACCGATGGTGCCGACCAGCGCGGTACAGTTCGTGTGATTCAGAAACCAGCGCCCTATGCGCCTGTCCGGTTCCCCTCCGTATCGCAAGACTGGGATGCCGCTGCGCAGGATTTTGAGCGCCAGATCAAGATCAAGAAGGAGGCGGTGCAGGCGAATTTGCGCAAGATTCCTACTATCGCTGAAGAATCTCAGTCGTTTTCAGAACGCGATACACCCAGTGCCCAGATAAATGGGGGTCCTACGCCTGCGGCTACAGCGGACGGACCCGAGCGTCGCAGGGACGTGCCGGTTTCCTCCGTGGAGCAAGAGGAGATCCCCATGTCGCCTCCGCGATGGGGCGAGTCGCCTGCCCATGAGAACGACTCAGAGGATCCCCGGGGTGGAGCTGTTGCGGCTACACCACAGCACAAGCGCTTGGAGAGTCAGGAGCTGGGGGAGTCGCCTTCACCGGAACGGCAACGGACTCCGACGCCCAAGACGCAGACATCCCCCGCGAAACGCGGCTCCGTCTCGAAACAGGTGCCTGCCACTCGGTCGATCTCACAGTTTGTCGCGGAGCCGGACTTCCCCTCGTCGAATCGAAGGGAGCGTCAGCGCAGCGGGTCGGAATCGCCATTGAGTCCGAGACAAGCACCGTCTCGGGTAGAGCGCGAGTTGGATGAGGAGGAAGTCGAAACAGACATCTCTCAGCCGGAACGCCAGTCGAGTGAGGACGAAGAACAATCTGACGATTTGGACAACGAGGGAGATGTGGCGATGGATGACGGCGATGTTGCGGCGGCGGAGGAAGTACATGCTGAGGCCGGTGCTAAGGAGACGGATGAGCGGGTGGTAAATGGGAGCAAAGAGAGTTCCTCTAGGGAAGTAATGCCCGCGGTTCGCCAACGCAAGAGAAAGAAGAGCTTGGAGGAAGAGCAACCTAACAAGGAGCCTCGGTTGGAGCCTAGAAGCCCTGGATCGTCGGACAAGGAAAACAACCCGAGCCAGTCGCTGTCCGAGCCACCTGTGAGCAGTCCATTGGCCCGAAGACACGAGAGGGCACCATCGTTCTCTGGAATCGGTCGGCGGTCAAGTCTCTCTGAGAAACCCACGGAGTCTGCGAAACACGGACTAGGGTTGGGTATCACAAAGAGCCCCCCTAGCAAACCGCAGGTGATGATCTCGTTGTCCCAGGAGGCGACCACGTCGATATCAGGAACTCCGCTCTTTGCCAGCAAAGCGTCTACAACCCGCCGTGCATCGTTGGTGGAAAACGATGCCACGCCATCCAAGCAAACTCCTGCTCTGGATCGCGTGAAGCAACTACATTCGGCTTTACGAAAGGATTCGCCAGCCGACAAGTCGGCGCAACGCCGGTCTGTTTCTTTTGCCGAAGGAGAGGACATGGTCATTACGGCGTCGACACCGATTCCCAAGTCGACTCCGCAGACCAACCCCAAGGGCAAGGGGACACCGGGTTCTGAGCCCGGAAAGAAGTCATCGACACCGAGCAAGATGGTGTTCCCTACCGGTGTTCCTCAGGAACGGGTGGAACAGTTGATGCGAGAAGCGAATCAGAAATTCGAGAAGCATCACAAGGACAAGGAAGAAGTCGAGGAGATGATTAAAGCGGCCAAGGAGCAGAATAAGGATCCGGCGTACGTGCGCAATCTGGAAGAGCTGTTGGCCAAATTGGACCGGGTCCAGAAACTCGAGAAGCGGAACCGCGCCAGCGAGAGAGACAGGCTTGAGCGCGCTCGGGCTGATCTACGGGCGAAGCGTGAAGAAGTTGCCAAAATGGAGGCAGATATGGGTGCTTCTTCGCCGGATGATAAGCAACCGAAGGCGGGCTCGTCCAAGACTAACGGAGATGCAAACACACCCAAGGCGGATACTACATCAAAGGCCAAGGGTGCGAAGAAGTCGACGCCAGCAGCTGAACAGAATGGTCCCGCGAAAAAGGTAGCCGAAGCAAAGAAGGGGACCGAGCCATCTACTACTACAACGGCTGAATGCAAAGGCTCGACTAAGAAGGCGGACGCCAAGAAGGGACCTGATTCTACTGCTACTCCTACAGCGACCAAGCCCCGCTCTACAGAAGAGGAACCGAAGGGCACTCCAAATGAACCACCGGAGAGCTCCGCTGAGGACGCTAAGCTACCTCCGATGACGAAGATCCAGCGCGGTGACCTCCCCAAGGCCAAGACAAATGGCACGAAGAAATCTCCCGCCTCCGAGCCAGTAGACGTGTCCTCCACCTCGTCATCCTCCGAAGAATCCTCGGAACACTCTGAATCCGAGAACGAGGATGACGACGAGAGCGACGCCGAGGCCGAAACCCACACCGGCACCGACAAACCCGCCAAAAGCAAGGCCGACCTTCTCCGCCGCAGCAGCGCAACCCCTTCATCACAAGGTAATGCCCGGTCCCCTGCGCCCTCGCAGTCGGCATCGCAATCCTGGGGCCAACCGATCAACGGGAGTCGCAGCCGCGCCACACTCAAGACGCTGCTCGTCGACAAGAAGAAAGAGTCAGCGGAGAAGGCACAGCAAGCGAAGAAGAAGATCAGCGCCGCGCCAAAACGGCCGCGGAATATCTTCTCGCCTCCGTCGGACGACGATTCCGATGAGAGCGAGTCAAGCTCGAGCTCGAGCTCCAGTTCGAGTGAGAGTGACAGCGACAAAGACAGCGACAGCGATAACGAGAGCCATAGCAGTGCAGATCATGGGGATATCATGTCTAGTGGGACGGTCGGCAAACTGCGCGCTGCGCGAAAGAAGTAATCCGGGCCTTGCAGATGGGTCTAGTTGTTTTTTTCTTTAGCATGTCGTGCGTTCAAGCATACTTTGTAATCATTTCGATGGGTTGTCTGCTGGCGAGGTTGGTTTATCGGACTGGGACTGCTGGAGCTGTTCTTAGATTGCTATCTACTTGGTGCTCTTCATCATAATGGTGATAATCCTGTACAATTGACCTGTGACTTTGACAGTCCACATCACTGCACTGCCAACCGCTCTCGTAAGCCTGATCAGGTACAGGGCGTCCAATAGCTGGATGTTAAGCTACCTCTAGAGTGATGACTGTCAGAGTCATCTGGCAGCTACTGCACCAACCCACCCTCTCTCAGTTCAACAATGTGTCCATCCAAGGATCTCAATTCGTTGAAATGTACGCATCTGCGGCCAGCCCCAACGGCACGGACACACCTCGGAACTACCCCCTAAATCGGCCCTGGAGGACGTGCGCGGGTGGAGTGATGGCTGGAGATAGGGGCCAATTTAGAACACAAGTATTGTGCAGATCTGCAGGCTATGCAGTCCCCCTCACGAGTCTTGACGTCAGAGAACGTCTAGAGTCCAGACTACTATTGATAGATGAAACAACAATATGACCGGACCCATCGGCAAAAAAGGATCGAGCCTCGGCTGAAGCCCAGAGGCGGCGTAGATAGAGTGTCTGGCGATAGACATGCAGGACTACGTACGATGGATCGTAGCTGCATACGAGCAGACGAATAACGGCGTCTCGGCCTCCTCTTGGGCCGATGCAGACACAACTTGACTTTCTGGCAGTGCAGCCACCAGTCTGACCGCATCAACGTCTGCCTTTTCATCGGGTGGATTGTTGACCCGGTTGGAGTAAGGTGAGTCACGGGTTGGGCCTCGTTTATTTATGTTTATCATCTTACCCCCTTGTCCAAAAAGAATATCGACCATCGCAAAATGACTTCCAATTACTCCATCTCCCTCATCGCAGGGGCGATAGCTGTTTTTGTTTACACGCTTAGTGTCCTCCGCCGCAAATGGGCACAGTATCGCTTCGCCCGTGAGAACAACTGCCAAGACCCCCCGCGGATCCCCTCCAAGGATCCCTTCTTCGGGCTGGATACCACCTATACCACGATCCAGAATGTCAAGGAACACAAATTCCTCGAGCGGGCGCAGGCCCGGTTCAATGAAGTCGGCCACACCATGAAGACCCGCCGCCTCCTCCAAACCATCATCCTCACCCGCGACCCCCAAAACATCAAGACCGTTCTGTCACTGCGCTTCAAGGACTACGCCCTGGGCCAACGTTACAAGACATTTGGCGACCTCCTCGGCCACGGCATCTTCACCACCGACGGCGAGCACTGGGCGCATTCGCGCGCCATGATCCGCCCCAACTTCGTCCGCGAGCAGGTCGCCGACCTCGGCATCTTCGAGGCGCAGATGGCCGATCTGCTGGAGTTGATCCCCAAGGACGGCAGCACGGTTGACCTCCAGGACCTGTTCTTCAGCTACACCATCGACTCGGCGACCGAATTCCTCTTCGGCCAGAGCGTGCAGTCGCTGAAGAAGCGCCGCTCCGGCGGCCGCGACGCACACGTCGAGAACGACTTCGCCAGCGCGTTCAACTACGCGCAGCATGCCATCGCCACGCGCATCCGGCTGGGTCCGCTGGCTGCCTTCTACCACGACCGCAAGGTGGAGCGGTGCAATCGCGTCTGCCACGGGCTGGTGGAGCAGTTCGTCGACAAGGCGCTCGAGGTGCGGGCGCAGGGCCTTGACGAGAAGACGCTCGAGGACGGCGACGGCGAGAAGAAACAGCGCTACGTGTTCCTGCACGGCCTGGCGCAGCAGACGGGCGACCGCCGCCGGATCCGCGACGAGGTCATGAACGTTCTGCTTGCTGGGCGGGATACCACCGCCTCGCTGCTGAGTAACCTCTTCTTCATGCTGGCCAAGCACCCGCGCATCTGGGCCAAGCTGCGCGACGAGGTGGCCTCGTTGAACGGCCGGCCGCCGACCTACGAGCAGCTGCGGAATCTGACCTATGTCAAGTATTGTCTGAACGAATGTACGTATGCAACCCTCAGTTTTATCTGCAGATGCTAATGCTACCCGACAGCCCTCCGTCTGCACCCCGTCGTCCCTGGAAACGCTCGCTTCGCCATCGCCGACACCGTCCTCCCCGTCGGCGGCGGGCCGGACGGCCAATCCCCTGTGTTCGTCCCCAAGGACGCAATCGTCACGTACAGCGTGTGGTCGATGCACCGCCGTGAAGACTTCTACGGCCCCGATGCGAACGAGTTCCGGCCGGAGCGCTGGGCGGATCTTCGGCCGGGATGGGAGTATCTCCCCTTCAACGGGGGCCCGCGTATCTGTGTGGGACAGCAGTATGCGCTTACGGAGGCAGGCTACGTGACTGTCCGGCTGGCGCAGCAGTTTGCGGTACTGGAGAGTCGGGATCCGGGACCGTGGGAGGAGAATTTGACGCTGACTTTATGTTCGAGGAATGGGACCAAGGTCAGTTTGAGGAATTAGTTTGTCTTTAATCTCTCTACTTCATGTATCTACTTTATGACGCTCTACTTTATGAAGCTCCTCTTGTATGTATATCATGAATTTTACGTCTGGATTAGCCATTGCTAGGCGACTATGGAACATTAATCCCCTCGGCATCCTGCTGATGCCCCGTTGCACCCTCGAGCCATGCCGCCGGCGGAGCCTGGTCAATGATACAATTCCACCCAAACTTATCCTCGATCTTGCCAGCCTGAATGCCCTTGAGGGTCTGCAACAGCTTGATACAGACCTCACCCCCACTCTGCCCATCCTCGCCGCAGTCAAACGTAAACTTATCGCCGCGCGAGCGCATTGTGATACTCCGGATGGGGACCAGCGCCGCCGCTGTGCCTGCAGCAATCACCTCTTTAAATTCCTTGATTTCCTCATACCCAATGCGTCTCTTCTCAACCGCAAACCCAAACACCCGCTCCCCAATCTCGCACACCGACCGCGCCGTCACCGAATCAATCACATTCTTGCTATCCGGCTGCACAAGCGTGACCTTGTCGCCGTCCCTCCTCACCCCGATAAACGCCGACGTCGAGAACTCGTCAATCTCCGACCGCGTCCGGCTATCCAGATGCAGCGTGATCCCGAACCCCTCCGCCGCGGCGCGCGCACTATGCCGCAGCACAGGCGCATAGTTGCCCCCGACCTTCGCGGACCCGGTCCCTTCCGGCGCGGCGCGGTCAAAGTCCTCGAGAATCAGGGCGTCGACGGCATGCACGCCGTGGTACACGCCCGTCGGCATCACAAACACCACGAATGTGTATGCATCTGGCGGGGAGAGGCCCAGCTGCGCGGAGGACCCGAAGAGCAGGGGGCGGATGTACATCGCGGCGCCGGTCTCATGGGGCGGGACGAACTCGGCATTGGCGGCGACGGCTAGCTTGACGCATTGCATGAACAAATCCTCCGGGACGGGGGGCATGGAGACGAACTCTGCGGAGCGGCGGAGGCGGGCGGCGTTGCGGTCTGGGCGGAAGATGGAGATTTGGCCGTTTGGGTGGCGGAAGGCTTTGAGGCCTTCGTAGGCTTGTTGGCCGTAGTTCAGGCCCGGGGCCATGCCGTGCAGGGGGAGGAAGGGGGAGGAGACGAATTTGGGGGCGGACCATGTGCCCCCGGTGCTGTGGGAGAAGTGGCATTCCACATGGCCGTTCACTTTAGTTGTCAGTTGGGATGAGGCGGATGGAGGGGAGGGAGCTGAGCTTACCGTCGCGGACTTTGAAGCCGACGTTGGACCAGTCGATGGTGTCGACGGGAGGAGGAGGGAACGACATTGTTGGTAGTGTAATTGAGTGAGTTGAGGTGTAGTAAGTTGAGGATGCGATGATGTTGAGGGAGAAGAATGACGATGGAGGGGTAAAAGGTAATATATTCCGCCGATGGAGGTGGGGAACAACACTACGAGAAGCTTATGGATAAATAACTACAAATCATCATCGACAATGCAGCTGAGGTCAGATCATGAGTCATCGGTCATCTCTGACGAATTCTTGTCAATCATTAGCCGAGTCTTATTAGTTATCTCCACAGTTCAACCGCCAATCATATTGGATTCAACTATTGATCACGGTCTCATGGATAGCTTCATTGCTCAGATCAAGCCTGACCTCTACCGTACTCTGTCACCAAACAGACCTTCAACCCTCCAGGAATCTCATGCCGTGAGAACCGGCGATAGTCTTCGACGATATTCTCGAATTCATCTGTCTCATCAGCACAGCCAGATAGACAGTGATGACATACCTTCGTATGTAAACACCCACGAAGGATCATACTTTCCTTGTGTCACCATGTCCAAGAGAAGCGGATGGTACTATGAAGTCAGTGTCATTAATTGAGTCGCATATCTGAGACGTGGATACCTTTTGAGAATTGACCTGTCCGCCCCGGATCGTCAATCCCTTTTCCATCAACGGCCCGATAGGAAAATCATTCGTCTTATAAAAGAAATCCCCAAGCAGCGCGAGATGGCCTCCCTTTCTCGTCGCCTTGATCATCGCCGACACCGTGTCACTGCTATCATGCTCCAACCCAATCGCCCGCATAGCCGCATGCTGCGGTTTCTGCGTACTCCGAAACCCACTCGCCTCGACCGCGCAGTCCAACCCCCTCGGCTCCATCGACAGGATATAATCCCCCACCTCGGCATGCACACTGACATCCACAGGAATCATCCCAAACCCTTCAGCAATCTGCAAGCGGCTCGCGTCCTTATCAACGGCATACACCTTCTTCGCCCCGCGCAGGACCGCCAGCCGCTGCACCGATAACCCCACCGGTCCACACCCCCAAACACCAACTATATCCCCCGGCTGGACATCTGCAAGCTCACAACCATGCCACGCAGCGGTCGTGACATGCACCAGACCGAGCAGCTTCTTTGCGTCGATATCAGCCGGCACCCGCACACAGCAGAAATCCGCGTTCGGGACCCGCACGTACTCCGCCTGCGCGCCGGGATACCCGCCGTACAACCGCGTGAACCCCAGCATCCCCGCCACGCGGTGTCCGTACGCACTCTCCATCTCCCGCGAGGGATTCGTCGTGTCGCACAGCGAGAACTCCTGCCGCTTGCAGAACTCGCAGTGTCCGCAGGCGATCACGGGGAGGATCATGACTCTGTCACCTGAGGAGAGGCTGCGGACCTCCCCGCCGACTTCCTCGACGGTGCCGATCGCCTCGTGGCCGAGGATGTCGCCTTTGGAGAGAAGCTCGCTGAGTTCACCGTCGTAGAGGTGGAGATCTGCGCCGCCGATGGTGCAGTGGGTGATGTGGATTATTGCGTCCGAGGGGTCTGTGATGGTTGGTTTGGCGACGGTGCCGAGCTGGATCGTGCGCGTTCCCATCCACTGTGCGGCTTTCATTTTGTCTGTGGGATGCGGCTTGTAGAGCGTGCTTGTCATTGGTCTGTAAATTAGTATGAGTTCTGCGGAGCATGGGGGTGGTTTACTTGGGAGTTGCGGTCGTCATCTTGTGGACTGAATGTAGACGCTACAGAGTCTATGTATACAGATGCACTTGTTTGATATGGACTGTAAAAGTAGCAATGGTGCCTGAAGATACAATATAGTTTGAGATGGCGTATCAGTGGCAATCCAATCTGCGAGTATGGATAAGCTGTCGGAATGGAGGGCCGAGATATGAAGTCATGCAAAACGCCGCTTCTTCGTTGGCCACTTTCCAGTATACTGCCAGAGGTGTTACTGCAAGATGACAATTGCAATATCTACTTACGAGGACTATGGCTACTATTACAAGCTGTCAAGACTGAGCAGGAAGTTGAATGCATTTTCTTCTTGTTGAAATCAGATCAGCGTACAATCGAGGTCTACCTTTTCCTGTCAACATCAACTGACACAATATGAATAGAGCTACATCAAGAACACCACCCTATAGACTCTTCAACCTCCAAGTACCACCATGCAACCCAGTCGCAACCCCATCAACAAGCTTCACCCTCGTCCCATTGCTCGAGACCAGCACACCCTCCGCGTCGATCTTCACATCACCGATTGTCCCCTCAGGCGTCGTAAACACCAACTCCGTATACCCATTGCTTCCCCTCCTAAACTCCGTCTCAAACCTCCCCAAACGCGTCTCAAACCCCCCCTCAACGGCCCTCAAATCCCCCGGCTGCGGCTTAAACACCCACCTCTCCCCGCCCGCCCCAACTAGCTGCAATCCAGCCGCATAGAACATCAACGCGGCCGTCGGGCCAGTAGCCCACCCATGCGCATGCGAGATCCTTGCATCATTGCTATACGGCGCGTAATGCAGTGACCCATCCGTACTATACCCCTCTATAAACGTCGACTGCGTCATCCGCGGATCATCAAGCATGAATCCCCACTGCCGCCGCATCAAATCTAGACCGCGCTGCGGCTGATCCGCGAGGAAGTGAGCCTGCAGCTCGAAGCCGGTGATGAAGGGGGAGATGGTTGCTCCTGCCTCGGGGGCTGGGGCGCCGTAGGGTCCCCAGCGGGCGGAGAGGGCGGTGGAGATTGTGGATGATTGATTAAATGACAGGGTGAGGTTGGACTTTAGGGCCCAGGCGTTGCCGTCCTGTGGGTGGAGGGTTGTGGTTTCGTTGTCGCGGTAGAGGCCTGCGGATGGGTCCCAGAGTCTGGCGTTGGCGGAGGATTTGAGGGTGCTTGCGATGCGGGACCAGGTTGAGGAGGAGGTGGTGTCGTTGAGGGTTTGCGAGAGGGCTAGAGATTCCTGGAGGACGAAGTAGAGGATGGCGTTTGCTTCGATGTTCTGCTTTTGTTAGTGATGGATACTGTATAGCGTGGGTGAGAACGTACGTGGCCGCCCATGCCGAAACGTAGCCAGTCGGCGCTGGCAGTTACGTTGGCTAGGCCGGTGTCGTCGATGCTGGATAACGACCATTGCAAGGCGCGTTTGTACTGGCTCCAGTGTGCGGCAAGCCAGGTCTTGTCTCCTGAGTACCGGTAATAGTACGACACGCCGATCAAGCTGTGGAGATGGTAGGTATAGCTGACGGTGTCATAGAAGGGTTTGCCGGCGTAAGGAAGACGACCGTCAGCTTGTTGTATTGCGAAGAGTGATTCCAACGCCATGCGCACACTGTACAGGTCATACGTGCTGACGGCGATGCTCTCCAGCGCTATGGACATATCACCCGGCCAGACAAGGCGATCCCGTTTCGCTCCGTCTGTGAGCACGCTGCTCCCGTTGGCGATGGTATCGTTGCTCCACCAGGGGACAGTCTCCGGGAGGGTGATATTGTCACTTGAGGTAATCGTGCCTAGAAAAGGCAACGCATTCCCCATGCTGGGATCAATGGTGCACAGCTGGTTTGTGTATGCGCCTGCGTACCAGATGCGATTGAGCAATTCATCATCGCAGTGGAAGTAGCCTGTATACGCGCGGAGATTCTGAGTCGGAGCTGCCGTGAAGTTGATTCGGACACTTTCAACAACAACGGTTGCAGATGTGTTGGTAACAAGAGTCAGATATCTGAAGGCCCCGCGGTTGTGTTTCTTCTCGGCCGTGTATCGCCCCGAGCCGTGACCGACAGGAAACCAAAGGGGTGAGTCAAGACCTGCATCGGCAGTTGCGTCACAAGCTTCGTTGTTGATCCAGAGGCTTGATTCGGAGAAAGTGACTCCGATGAAGGCATCGAGCGAGGAGACCCGGCTGATGTCTAGCGAGACAATGCCGGCGATGTTGCGACCAAAGTCATATGTGACGGATGAGACACCATGAAAGGTGGCTTTCCCACCTTTCCTATTGGTTAAAGCAGACGGGTCAGAAACGGAGCCGTTAACATGATACACCCTTTTCGGAATCAGATCTCGAGTGGCTGGTGCTAAGATATACTCTTCATATGGAACGGCAGTGCAGACTGCTGCTGCAACCACGAAAAATGATAAGAGTCTCATCTCTATAACTGGCTACTTACAGGAAACAGGCCTAGGCCCCCGTATGCTGGAAAGGAAGTACATTTATATTCCTCGTCCAACTCTCCGTTCTATACACCAGATGCCGATTCCTCAGCCGAGTATGACGTTTTGCAAGACTCGGACAAGTCCTTACCGAGAGCAAGAAGCGTCTCCAGTCTCTAGGAAGAATGCCCTCGGCGGATCAACATTCCGGACTTCTGCTTCCATTCCCCAGCAAACAAGCTTGATGGAGGTGGGGCCGGAATTTGCGGAGAAGCCCAGAGTCGATCGAAGGAGGCGCTGCGCTATGACTTGTCTAGTGCATGCTTGCCAAAGAGGGGTACGTATAGATTGATTGAGATTTATTGGCCATAGATGTATGATCTACTATCCGGAGGGCAGGTTGATAACTTTGCACTCTGTCTTGTGTAGGGTTGAACGCGGGGTTGCCGAAGTTCTCCCGCATAAAGTTGTGGGGTAGTCGGCATATGTTAATATTCAGGCCTTAATCCACCTTGTAATCGACGGTACTTCTTCTGGCTACCGATAAGGCCGTTCTATTTTTCCCTGGTAAATGCTTTCCCGTCAGGCATGTTGGTAACGGCCATCCTGCCCATGCCCGTAGTGATATCGGCTGTAGTCACTGCAGCTACGATGGCTACCTTCTTACCACCCTGTACTCGGGACATGTTAGTTCTCAACACTATGAGTAGCCCCTTAGTAGTAACACTGCCACATGCAGTGTTACTACTACAATAAGCCCCGAGGCTAAGTCAAAGGCACAGATCACATGATTTATGTTTTGGTCCCTCGATCCAGGAAGGTATACATCAAACACACCGCTAGTGCGGATTATAATGCATTCCTCAGCTTCGGGGGACCCGTACAAGTCGATGAGAACACTGCTCCCACAGAGCGGCATTGACTGGCATAGTCGTACTTGGGGTGGGCAACAGAATCCGTTGCGGCTGGCTGAGCAACTTGGTGAGCTAGAGATGCGTTCGCCTCCTGATCGATATTGACAACATGAATCCGCTTTCTTCGTGACGGCCCTGATACGTTACAAGCTGATCGATCTGTAGCCATGTATTCATAGAAATCATGTTGATAGCGATAGCTATATACATATCTCACCCCAAGCGGGGAAGCTCTCGGACTGCTGCTTTAGCTATCCAATGGCTTCAGTTGTTTCCTGCATCTACACAGGAATCACTTTCGCATGTCTGTCCATCAGCTTAACCTCAAGTAGGGAGAGATTCTTTTGTCCTCCTGGACCGCAACCTGGACCGCAACCTGGACCGCATCACGCCATCAACAATACTAGTGAATGAGCTTGAAAATGTCTGTCGTCGCGCTAATCTCGCCATCCACTGCCCGATCAACTAAGGGGGTCAACAATCAACATTGGACTTCCCAGAGGAAGCGTTAACGTTGCCTCTGTTGTCGCCATGTATCTCTCCTTGAACAACGTGTATTGCTATACCTAGATTAGTCTGTATGCTCCCAAACCTGGGCACATAATCGGACGCGTATGATCGTGCATTCGAGGCTCGATGACCTCCTCAGGTTGACGAGTTACTGGATGAAGAGCGCTAGACGCACATCGGCTACCTGTCTCCAGCGCAACGGATCTAAGAGGGAACGAGATTCATAAAGCCGAGGCCTCTGGTCGCATAATTGCGCAATCGCTCGAGATCTAAGTATAGGGTGTCATTGCCGTTACGGCCTGGCACCAGCGCTGGGCCGAAAAGGTCACGTCTTTTGATCGAGAGGTTGTTGGGAGCTGCAGGGCGGGGGAATATGGGCTGCACAACAGGTATAAGCATGTAAAATATAGTCATATACCTTGAACATACCTCGCTCTGCTGGAGTGTCGGCATCCCATTCTTATCTCTGACGAAGAGCTCAACAGTCCCCGAGACGCGTTCTTGTAGTCTTGTCCATTGGACGATAATAACAACATTAATGGAGCCATTGCCACCGACTAGCGACAGGTCCATGCCGTTACGAAGTAGTTCCTTGGACTCGCTCCAGCCAGATTCTACCGCAGTAGTTGGTAGAATAAGATTGTTAGGTCGGAAAAAGAAGTCAGGTTCCTTCCAGGAGCCGCTATATGGGCCGGATTTGAAGAAAAGGGCTACATATGTTAGCTTGGAATTCTGTAGATAAGCAAATCATGTTGAGTGCGCTCAGACCACTGAGCTAAAAAGGTGTCATGACAACTATTTCTAGCTAGTAGAAATTATGGTGCAGCTGATATCAAACAGATCATAAGATACTTACTAGTGCCGACTCCTGGATCAAACAGCTCCACTTCTTGTAGGGTGATATCCCCATTCAAAAGCCAGTTAAGCGGTTGTTTAAACAACCACGGCTGGATACAGTCGAGTATCTCGGTTGGTTTGACTCTGATTCGCAGCTCGCGGCTTTCACTGTTGTAGCTTTTCCTGGATGTTCTCTGATGAGCGGGACTGCAAGGTCCAGATGCAGAAGGCGTTTACTTACCGAGAGGGGATTATCTCATCAATATGCTGATACACAGCGTCCGCCCACGAGGGAGGCACATCGTTGAATATGAACTCATGATACTCCCTGTTTCGATGCAGCGAGGAGACGACGTGATCTGTGAAATCAGCCTGCTTATCAAAGTGGTTTGCTGAAGTGACAGTCATGAATGAACCAGACTCAGCGGCAGGGGTAGTAAATGGAACATCTGACATGGTGAGGGGAGAGGTCTAGACAACCACTTGTAGCATAGCAGAAATAATAGTGTAGAACAGCTGTATTGATGTTCAGAAAAGAGCAGGTGCTGAAATAGGAAGGTCAAACTCTTCAGCTGGAGGAACCTCAAGACACCAATTTCTGAGAGTATAGGTGGTGAAGTGAATAACTGCAATCTACCTGTCATAATGATGTATCTGTAGAGGTAAGTGAATGGTCCATGGATCCAAGTCCAACATAGCGCACTGTGCTAGTAGGATTTAGGCACATCGGATCCCAAGTAACAGCAGGGACCGGGCCTCAGACCCATGGTTTGGGTTGGATGAGTCTGCCATCTTGAAAGCATCTGCAAATTGGTAAGTCAGTTGATAAAGCTACTAAGCCTGCTTGCGCTGGCTTAGCACCTGGAAAACAGGACATATCACACCAGGATTGTAGATATGTTGTACGCATTTCCCAGCATGCCCTCCGCCGTCTAGCTGGCGCTGTAGCATACCCAGGAGCTGCTATATGGGCCGACCTGCTCAGCCGAAGATGTACGACTGCTACCCGCCGCTCAACCAGGAAGATCCATGGGAGTCTGAAAAGCCACTGCTGCAGTTCTTCATATTAACAACTCCGACAGTCTTTGGAAGCTTAACTAATTACATCTGTCGGCGAGCGCGCCTCCTGGAAGGAATGCCTGTACCGCAACATTCTCTTTGTGATATAGCCGTAGGTACGAGCAAATAGCAGGACATTCCACTCTAGCTCTAAGTTCAATCCACCATATACTGCGACTCGCTTTGCGATACCATAGATAAAGCAGCAAAAGCGCCACAGGGTCCCTTTTCCGAAGCAAGTCTTCGAAAGAGCCATGGATACAGCGCGTGAAGAGTTGAGTCTGACCTGTCGTGACCTCGCTATCCGGGAGGTCCAGGATGTGGGATACCGCGTGGGTGGCATGGAAATAGGGATTGTTTCTCGCCGTAGATGAGTCGTTGAGAAGACACAGGGCAGCCAAAGCTCTTGGTATACCATCTATGCCCCTCTCTGGCAAGGGTGAATGCATGATAGCAAAGGTAGCCGCCATGACGTGGAAAAGACTGTCCGGTCGTAGCGGGTTCACTATATTCCACAGTGCCATTTTACCCTTGCTCATACGTAACCAGTCCAAATCGGAGTCACCAGAAGACTTTAGAGGCCACGATTCTTCCGGCGTGCGTGCATCAGGGGATGAGAAGGTCAAGACAGCCAGAGCAGCCGCAGTGGCCCAGATTGGATCCCTATCTTTCGCTTCAATCGGTTCCCTTAACCGTCTGTTGAGAAGAGCTGTGCTTTGAGACCAGTGATAGCACTCTTCTAGACTGCGACGACAGCCTAATGAGCTATTGAGATGGCGGTCATATGTAAATGCCACAGCCAGAGAGGCGTGCATTAAGAAAGGGTACTGTAAGCCATGAGTTAGCCGAGCTCTGGCCCCGACGTTGACAGAATCGATGCAATATACTTACAGCGAAGGCTAGTCTCAGGAGCTTGCGATTAACGAGTATCATATTAGGGTCATCTGGGGTAATGAGACTTCGTCCAAGATATCGGGTGATAAAATCTTGACACTTTGCGTTCAATTGATAGAATGTGGATTCGTCAGAAATCCACACAGGACTGGCTACAGGAGGTTGAAGGTCTGCTCTTCCTAGAACCTCAACCACCAATGACTTCCCTGTGTCAGCGGCGATGGGCTGCAGGTCGGGGACATTGAACATGTAGTTGCATAATACCCCAAATGAAGTACATCTCTTGCAATGCGGTTTGCTTTCGTCGCACTGGATCCGTTCAGCCAAGCACCATCTAGGAAAGCCGAGGGCCACGCACCTTGAGTTTTCTGAGCTTGCAATTTCGGCAGCCGAATCTCGACCTCCGCAGAGACTTACGCTCGCGGATTTCTCTTGGACGAGTTGAGGCCATACTTTGCGCAGCTTTCCTGTGAGGATGAGAACTGGCCATGGTCATCTAAGGAGTCCAAGGCACCACTTTAGTTTCACATCGTCGCAGACACCCATTATGACCCATTTGGTAACGGTCTAACCTCATTTCGGAAACACGCCGTCCACGCTAGCTGTTCCTCGGATGCAGAGCCCTCTGATTGGCTGCAGTTCTGTCCTGACTATATCACTATATCAAAGAGTAAGTAGTTGATGATAGCTGAATGGTATAAGAAGAGGGTCATTCCTCAATATCCTAGGATCAGAGGCTAATGTCTATAGCATCAGAATCATAAACTTTGACTTGATACCAGCCTCTGTTCCCATACTTACACAAGTCCAAATGACCACCCACCTCGCCGCTGTCTCCCCAGCCAAAGGCCAACCCTTTGAGCTCCAAACCCGCCCCACCCCAAAGCCAGGACCAAACGAGCTCCTCATCGCCGTCAAATCCGTAGCTCTCAACCCGGCAGACACCTACATGCGCGACCAAGGCCTCTTCATACCCGCTTACCCCACGGTCATTGGCTTCGACATGTCCGGCTTAGTCCTTGAGGTTGGCGACAACGTCCCCACGTCCTTCCGACCTGGTATCACCAGGGTCGCCGCCTACGCCGCCTCGGTCTGGAAGTCCTGCGATCCAGACTACGGCGCATTTCAGGAGCGGTGCCTCGTCCCCTGGCAGCATGCTGTGCCGCTTTCGGACGAGAGCATATCATGGAACGAGGCGGCAACCTTGCCCGTCGCTGTTGAGGTAGCCCTTAACGCGTGGGATGCCATTGGGATCGCCCGGGCAGGAGCCGGAGAAGCCACTGCTTCAGCTTCAGTCTCTGCGGACTCCACTGGTACAGATGTCAATACCAACGCAGGGAAGCTAAAGAGTATTAATATCATGGAAAAAAGAGAAGCTCTCCTAATCTGGGGTGCCTCCTCTAGCGTCGGCACCATGGGCGTACAAACGGCTCGGCTGCTGCGGGACGATCCCGACTCTTCTTTCGCGGCTGTGTACGCCACGGCCGGATCGGCGAATAAGCATTATGTCCGTTCACTGGGCGCGGATCGCGTGTTCGACTACAAAGACTCACACGTTGTGGATGCGATTGTTTCCGCAGCCAAGGAGGACGGGCTAGTGATCCGGCACTGTTTTCTTGCTACCGGGCAACTTGCGTCATGCCAGTCTGTGCTAAAGGCATTCCTCGGAGACGATCAAGAAGGGAAGACCACGAAGATGGCGAAGATAGGATCAGCACCCCCGGTTCCTCCGAATGTGGAGGTCGTGGATGGCGTAGAGACGATATTTGTGGTGCCGTCGACAGTGGAAGCGGAGAGGCTGGAGCAGTTCAGATACTGGATCGGGACGTGGCTGAGGGAAAACCTGGCCAAGGGGACCATCAGGCCGAGTCCGGAGCCGAGCGTCGTGGGAAAGGGTCTGGGGGCTATCAATGCTGGGTTGGACAAACTACTCCGGGGGGTTAGTTGTACAAAGTTGATTGTTGAGGTTGCAAATTAGCATAGAAAGATAAGATGAGCCCAAACGTCCGAAGCTAACTAAACAACACTTGTACTTATGGCTCTTTTATTTGTACTAAGTATGTTTCTGCAGAGTACGCGTAGCGAAGAGCACATAATTTCTAGTAAAGTCGGTTTCCTCAATTCCTGACACAGTTTTCTGAATTACGTTGATAAAATCTAGGTTTTTATAGAGTTCCATGGGTATGAATATATATACGCTGGTAAAGCTGGTATAATTAGGAATCACTTGTGAACAAGCGCTTAATCTCCTAACTCTCTGGACCAACTAAGGCAAAAGATGTACTACGATTTGACCTTATAACCATGCCTGGCGTCCATATATATATGTGTGTGTCTTCACTGGCTTCACACTCATAACAACTACATAACTATACAGATATATAGTTATATACCTTACTACTGAGGCGGCGGAAACAAGTGTTATATCAGATAAGGTTCAATATTGTCTGCATCAGCCGCTTATGTATCTGAATACTTATGCATGTAATTGGTGGATTAAACAGCTAGTATATTGCCATTACTGCCTGCTAACCAGTATATATGGGATAGTATCTTCTAAACCGCCATAGCTTATACTTTCAACCTTCCCTCGGATTTGATTGGGCTTAAGATCGGTGTTGGAGGGGTTTCCCAGATAGAAGAAATAGTGGAGTGATTTAATGCGGTTTGTAGAAACGAGATGTGGAAGGTAGACCCATTGATGAAATGGACTTGAAACTATCTGACTTGAATCACTTGATGGTGACTATTGACATGAACATGAAGCAGGAGAGGAGATTGAAGTAAGCATACAAATACATCAGGTGCCTAGACAACTGTTTCTAGCATAGGAAAATAACAGTGCAGAATATTTTCAATAGGTAGCTCCATTGAGGATCAAGAGAGAGCAGGTGGTTGAAATGGGGGTCAACTCTCTTTAGCCGAAGCAACCTCAGACACCAACCGAATACTCCAGCTGTCTTACTGGTAGATTTGTCATAATGATGTACATTATAGAAACTAGTGAAGATCTACAGATCTAACCTACTTATGACTTGGAACCGATAACCTTCTTCATGGTCCAGGCATGGGCTGTGGGGACCTGGTAAGGCTAGTCGTATAGTTCCGGTGAAGTGCCGATGTTGATCAACCCCCACATATTACAGCATGGCTTCACCACATTCCTTGCCAGGACAGGTTGATGATCAAGTCACACCTGTATTAGCATCATGACACATAAACACATCAGAGACGTACCTGGGGCGAGTCTATCATATAATTGTTTCCATGGTTGACAATTTAACACCCCTGATTCCGTGATTGACCCTTTTGTATGCTTGCGCTCTGTCCTCAAGCTCAACACGTCTAATGCAAATATATCTCCAGTATCGCCGTATCAAAAACGATGTCAGGAGTTCGCTGAAAGGTGAATCGGTAGGTGCCGTTTAATTCGGCGAATGTCAGTAAGAGAAAAGCTGACCCACTAGACAAAACCTTCAGACGCCAGTGGGAGTGCTGAAGAAGGACGGCGCTCGTCAGATCCCGAGTCCAATGAGAATGTCGTCTCAAAGGTCTACTCCTCTAATGACATCGGCCAAATCGACGCTCATCGCTGGAGTCCAGCAATCAAATGGATAGCCACCGTGATCGTTTCGTCCATTGCGGCGTGGGTTTCCTTTGCAGGAGCTATTGATTCCCAGGCAGGCTCAAAAATCTCAACCGAGTTCGGAATCAGCGAAGAGGCTGAGACATTGGCAACTGGTAGGTTCCTGCTGCGTATTAGCCTACAGAACTAATGCTTGTCTAGCTATGTTCCTTTTTGGTTTTGCCTTTGGTGCCCTTGTGACCGGTCCCGTCTCCGAGACGGTTGGCCGCAATGCCGTCTACGTGACATCTCTGGTTATTTTCATCGTCTGTGTGGTTATAACAGGTTGCTCCCACAGCCTTGCTGTACAAAGCATATTTCGCTTCTTTGTCGGGTTCTCTGGATCCAGTCCATTGGTATGTGCTGGGGGTTCACTGTCCGACCTATGGACCACGACCCAGCAAGTCTATGTATTTCCCATATTCTCTGTTATCGCGTTCGTGGGCTCCGCTACGGGACCACTGGTGGGAGGATACATTGCCCAAAGCGACATATCCTGGAGATGGGTTGACTGGGTGACTGCCCTCGTCGCAGGGTTCTTCCTCGCAACTGTCGTCTTATTCTTGCCCGAAACATTCCAACCAGTTCTCCAACAGGTCAAAGGAAGGGAGATACGGCGTATCACCGGAACCGACAAGCACAAAGAGTCGAGTGAGGAAGAAAGCAAAACCTCGCTAGCCATGCAGATCCTCCTCGGTATCTGGCGACCCTTCTACCTCACCGTCTACGAGCCCATCGTCGTCGTCTGCGCGCTCTACCTGTCCATCATCTATGTCATCCTCTTTACCTGGCTGAACGGCTTCGAGTACATTTTTGCAGACACGTACTCATTTACAAAGGGACAGGTGGGACTCTGCTTCATCGCCATGTTCGTGGGCAACTGCTGCGTCATACCTTTCATTCCAGTCATCTACAAAATCTACACAAGAGCCCGCCACAAGGCCCAACAACGCAACGAATCATCCAAGGAGGAAGACGGCGCCAATCCAGAATCCGCAAAGCCCCCACCAGAGATCCATCTCTACTACGCCATGCTGGGCGCCCCCACTATCCCCCTCTCCCTCTTCTGGATGGCGTACACCACGAAGCCGCAGATCTCCCCCTGGGTCCCCATCGCCGGATCTCTCCCGTTCGGCTTCGGCTTCACCACCGTATTTGTCTCATGCTATCAGTATCTGACAGACTGCTACGGTATCTGGTCTGCCTCTGCGCTTTCGAGTGTGAATTTCGTGCGGTGTCTGTCCGCCGGCGGGATGATGTTGGCTTCAATGCCGCTGTATGAAAACCTGGGGGTGAAATGGTCGTTGACTTTACTGGGGGCTGCGTCTGCGGTGATGGTGCCGGTGCCTTTTGCATTTTATAAATGGGGGTATGTGATTCGGAGGAAAAGTAAGAATGCGTTGGCTTAGTTGATAGAGTTTGGTTGGTTGAGATTCGTTCCTGTCGCGTGACATCTGTTATCTGCTTTATAATAGGTGTTTGTAGGGGGGAATATATGTCCCCAGCCCACAGTGTTGATATCTACTACAGGGCTGCCAGGCAAAGAGCCCTTGATGTATTTAATACAAAAATTATGACTCTACGACTGATCTCTAGTCGCCGGTGGCTGATACTTGACATGCATTGAAGATGTTCAGATAAACTGTGGTAGATTTGGCCACGTCTAATGCCCTATTTACGTCCCTTGACCTTGTCTCCGGCCACACCGATCAGATTTCCATACTTCAGCGTGTCAATCGTCGCAGTGTACTGCTCCGACGAAGGAGATGCCGTAAGAATCATCGCCGAAAACCCGTCATCTCCTTCACCCGCCAGGAAATGCTCACGCAGGACCATCGTCAGCGGCGACGACCGGAATGGAATGCGAGTCTGCTTCTGGGCCATCGCGCGAATGACCTCCTTCAAGGACAGGAGATCCGTATTGATCTGCCTCCCCTCCTGCTGCTCCTGGGGCGTCTGCTTCGCTCGAGATGTCGATACACTGCCCTTGTCGTGGTAGTACTCTGAACCAGCCAAGTCCACAAAGACCAGCTTTCCACCCAGACAAGCATGGGGACAAGCCCGTTTGACTTCTTCCACATATTCCTCCGCTTTCTGGACATACGACTCGAACTCCGCCTTCTTCGCCTCGGCTTCATCAATCGCCGCCTGGTTAATCTGGTACTCCGGATTCGGCGCAAACTTGCCATCCGGCATCTGGATAAACCCCTTGGAATTCTCCTCCAGATAAATATCCGTCGCGCGCTTCCCAACAGGAACAAGCTCCGACTGCCTCTCCACAACCGCGTCCCTCGCATCCAGGAGCTCCCGCGTGACAATCTCCACCTCGAAGACAGCATGCGTCCGGGAACTTTGGTCATGCACCGTCGACGTCCCCGTCGCGCGGCGCCCAATCCCCGCCAGCAGCTGCGCGTGGAACTCGTCAAACGTCGCACACGCCTTCGTGACGATCGGACGCACGCGCACTTTGCCGTCAGCGAGCGTTTCCGTCTCGCCGCGGATGTGCGTTTTGCCGTCTTGCCCTTCGCGGATGTGGCATTTGCATCTGTCGTTTAGGAGGTCGAAGGCGGTGTTTTTCCGCAGCTCGTACATGCGCAGTCCGAGAAGGAATTTCCCGTTTTGATCAGCGGTTGCATTCAGCTGGTCGAGATGCTCATACAGCGCTCTCGCGGCAGACAGGCACAGCCCGAACTCGTCTGCATGCTCGAAATCATACCCGATGATGGTGTGCGACTTGCCGCTGCCGGAGTGGCCGTAGGCGAAGAAGTTGCAGGACTGCCCGTTCAGGACGCGGGGGAGGGTGGGTGCAACGACAGCCTCGAAGACGGCTTTGTTGTTGTCATTTGCGGTGAAGATGCGGGTAAACGCCGGTTCGCTTTTCCAGGGGCGGGATAGTTTGTGCGATGGCGGTGGGGTGAGCGAGAGCGCGGAGGTGTTGTTGGTGGGATGCGCGTGCTGTGTCCGGGTGATTTCCGGAGTGTTGGCCTCGGATGGCGAGAGAGGACGCCAGCGGATGAAGACTTTGATTGATTGCATGCTTGTTATCGACTGTTTGCCAGTTACGGATACGTGGACAGGGTATCTGCTCTGAATTTAAGTCCAAGATTGAAATAGCCCCCAAACTAAGGTTCAGGCACCAGCGCCATGTCTCGGGGAGGTCGTATTATTTGACGGCCAATCCACCTTGACCGCCGGTGATTTTGGTGGATCTCCATTATTGAAGTGCGATTACCGCGAGTCATGCTATTTATCTGTCATGGCCCAAAGAATGATGGATGTCTTAGCTTTGAATTACCTTTTCCGGTATCCTCATGGCCGCTCGGACAGCGTTCGTGCCTGAGGCAGTAAACGTGCCCGTAAAAGTCGATTTGTGCCTTAGGCATCACTTTGCCATGGCAGATATTGTATTCCAGCAAACTAGCATTGAATCCAATATAGCCTTAGAAGTGAGATAGGTGACTATCTCTTACTTCATAAGCAAAATGACGATCGGTACGTCGGGGTCTTATCCTCCGACCTGGTCGACAAATCGTCGATGCCGTTCATTGCATAGCCAGCCCTAACTCCGTTATTTCCGGGGTCTTTGCCAGAGAACAAGCACCAGAACACCAACAGCCATTGTTCTGTCCAAATCAGGCACCTTCAAGCTATCGGGGGTTTGGATCCTTCCGTCGGCTTTACATTGACCCATCTCTATTATCTCCGTGACTTGACCGGTTCCCGAACGGCCTTTGGAGCTCCGCTGGAAGACATATAAACTGTATGACCGGCTTTCAAGATGACCCCAGAAGACCACCCCAGAACAAGATATTCACAATTATCGCATCTGATAGAGTAACTTGACAACATGACCCAAAAGTACGCCAAAGATCAGCCCGCCGGTTTCACCAACCGCATCGAGCGCGTCGCTATCGTGGGCGTAAGTCTGCTTCATCCTCCTCCAAGTCCTCACTAACATAACGTCAGGCCGGCGGCACCGTGGGCAAATACATCACCCAGGAACTCCTGAAGACAGGCCAACACATCGTAACCGCGCTCACACGCGCAGACAGCAAGAACAGCCTCCCCGCGGGCGTCCGCACCGTCACAGTCGACTACAGCGATGAGTCCACTCTTGTCTCCGCGCTGCAAAACCAGCAGTTCCTCATTATTACGATGAATGTCTTGGCGCCAAAGGACACGCAGAGCAAGCTCATCCAGGCGGCTGCGAAGGCCGGTGTGCCGTACGTGATGCCAAACTGCTACGGCTGCGATATCACCAATGAGAAACTGCGGAAGGAGATGTTGGCCGGGGAGCCGGTGCGACAGGCTTGTAACGAGATTGAAGCAACTGGTGTTTCGGCGTGGGTAGTGCTGGTCTGTGGCTTCTGGTATGAGTTTAGTCTGTCGACTGGGCCCGAGTGGTTTGGGTTTGACTTCAAGGAGAAGAAGGTCACGTTTTATGATGAGGGAACGGTCAAGATTAATGTGAGTACGTGGGAGCAGTGTGGGCGGGCTGTTGCGGCGTTCTTGAAGTTCAAGGAGTTGCCGGAGGATGAGAATGATGAGAGCCCGACGGTGAGCGGCTGGGCGAACAGGCAGCTGTTTATCTCGAGCTTCCTGGTTAGCCAGAGGGATATGTTTGAGAGCTGGAAGAGGGTTACCGGTGACAAAGAGGAGGATTGGACCATTGAGTATGAACCCAGCGCTGAGCGGTATCAGCGGGGTATTGAGAGGATGCAAAAGGGTGATCGTCGCGGCTTTGCGCAGGCCATGTATGCGCGGGTCTTCTATCCCAATGGGGGTGGGGATTATGAGAGCAGCCGGGAGCTGGATAATGCAGTGCTTGGACTGCCTAAGGAGGATCTCGACGAGCGGACCAAACATGCGAAGGAGATGTTTGAGGCCGGTTATTCTTACTTTTGATCTCGCTGCTGACTGACGAGGATTGTGTATGTCGATGTGCTGTTCTTTATGAAGATTTGTATGGTCAAAATATGAATTGTCCGTGTCACTCAATGGCATAAGGTTAGAACCACACATGAGCCCAGCCATTCGCGACCAGAACCTGCATTCCGCGACCAGACAGAACTCCTCGGACTCATGTCGGCCATTATATCTCTCCTTCAGTCTTCCACCCTCCGTCGAACAACAGACTTACCAATCGTCTACGGTGACGCAGCAAACCAGGGCCTCAACCTATTCTCCCAGAGAGCTAGAACAAGACACCGCAGAGAAACCCACGCACTGGCGGGATGGACAGCCGCGTACGCAGGGCTAACTGTAGCCCACTCGGGCCGGTAGATTCAGGAAAACTACCTTCATCCGGGAGAGATGGTTATCTGTGTGTTTGCTATAAAGATCCGCTCGTGCTGGCCTTGACGCAATGCATGCGACGCGAGACTATTCAACTGTAGTGACTTGGTGAGGTATATATAAAGCGGCTCCAAGGTCGTCCAAAGTACGCAGCGGATTGAGAACCCGTCGATCAAGCGACGTCAAACGGTAAATCAGCGGAATAGTCCGTTGCGAAGCAGTCCGCAGGAGACGCTTGGCTTTGAGGATATGGAAGCAGTAAGCGTTGCTCAAGCATTGAGGCTTACAGTGTAGTGTCGCACATTTGTGAACGCAAAATGTATTAGCACTCGAAGCCGAAAGTGTTGGGCAGACGCTCTATCCGGTTAAGCCTGCCACCAGCTCAGGTCTAAGCAAGATAATAACAAGGTGAAACATCTCCTGTAGAAGAACAGTGAAAACCAACTGTAATGAGTGCTTACTAGCTAAACAAGATCCCTGCCTAAATTGAGGCTATGCTTATTTCGCATGAGAATGACGAGGGTTATTTGGTCCCTGTTTCAGGTATTAGGTGGGTCGATGCATCAGGCAATCTACATAGTAGGGAGGTAATGTGACTTAGTAGCCTAAAGCTCAGAAAACCCCGATAATCATTGGTCATTAGACAGACACGATGCTCCGACGGGGTACGCTAGTTGCCTCTCAGATTCCCTGTTGTATAGGTGGAGCGTTGCCAGGGTCTTTTGGGACACGCACTACCACTCAATGCCACACGCTTCTGATTCCTAGATCAGAATGGGAAACTAGCATATGTGGTGTGCCCAAGGCTTGCGGATTTATCCATGAAAATTTACGGTTTCGGACTCATTGTTCGATCCAAGTACAATATATCCAATTGAGAATAAGCCAAGCTGCATATTTAAGGAAAGGAGTCAACTGTACTCAACACTAAGTCCTGGTTGAGCTCTCGTTTGCAGGCCTCGTTGGATCTTGGAGTCTCGCCAGCTCAAGGAAAAGCCGATACATATAGATAGTCAGATCCTCTTTACGAAAGGCATTTGAGAACCATTCCCGCCCCTGCTCCGCAATCTCCCGGGCTCGTTTCTTCCCGGCCTCAGAGGTGAAATACATGACCATTTCAGGCAGCTCCTCCATGCTTTGACTAACGGGAATGTAATGAACCCACGGCATTAGACGGTCATCGTGCCATTCTCGTAGAAGCGTCTGTTTGAGCGGCGCGGACCTCGACGCAAGCAGCTTGTAGTACCGGCCACTGATGCCATTGCCGTCGATGTCAAACACCAGACGCGAATGCAAGGCTTCGTCCTTGTCGGCCCAGGATTTGATTCGGAAGAGGGCTCGTTGGTCACGGCAATAGCGTCTCTCGCATTGGAGGATTCGGGTAAAGGCAACGTCGAATAGTCTGCTGTTAAGGAAGGACGATTTCACTAGGTTGACCAGGCCTGCGCCTTCCCGAAGGTAGGAATGGGGACCGTTTCCCAAATTCTGTGCCAGCTTGACATAACGCTGTCGGTGGAAGCTTTGCCAGTCATCATTCGCCGCAAAGCCACCGGTGGTTGAGCCGGTCCAGTAGAGATTGTTGTGTTTGGAGTCCCAGCTCATGTCCTTGGCTTCTACATATTCAAATTCCGGCTCAAGATAGGCAGGGCTAGGGTACAGAATATCTCCCATTGTCGAAAGCGAGCCGGTGGACAGTATAGGAGCCAGACCTTCAATCAAGGGGAATGATGTAGGGCTCATCAACAGTCCGTGTGCTTCACGGTACTCGGGATGGCGGCATAGGTCTATTGTGGAGTGACGGTCAGTCACAAACGGGAGACCAAACGTTTGCACCTTCGGTCTGTCGGATTTTTTTCTTTCCTCCGACGGACACGGTTTGATCAATGCATCCCAGACAGGTCTCTTAGAATAGTTTGTCATGTTGAGTGGTCCAGACCTCCCAGAGGATGGTGGTATCAGAACCCTGGGTTCATCAAGGTGATTGACAAGAAATTTGATATTCGGTAAAAGACCATGCGTATCTGCCAGTACCGTGTTAAGAAACCCTTGGATATTTCTATCGACACTGCGATGAGGGTGGTTACAATTCGTTCTGGCTTCTGCAGACGAGAACGTGCAAACCCAAACATCACTGTTCAGCGTATCTTGTAAACGGTTGATGTTTTCAGTAACCTCGGTCCCGCTGATACTCCAAAATGGGGAGATTCTATCATAAATGATATCAAAGTCATCAATGAGCGGTGAATGATGTGCTTTGGCGAAATTATACCAACTTTCAAAGCCTGGCGGTGGTTCCATGCCGTAGCGGCGGCGATATTCCTCACAGGCAGCGGCATAACTGTTTGACTGTCTTTCGAGCAAGACTTGAAAATTGGCCTTCGCATCTTGAATGAGTAGCTCGATCGGATGTGCGGAGGATTGTATCACTGAAGACTTTGCAACGTGGATGGAGTAATTGTTGAATAGGTATGGGACTAAATAGACGACAATGCATACCCAGAGGGCAGATTTGGATTTAGCCTTATCCGGTAGAAAGGAGATAATCTGTCCTAGGGCAAATATTGATGCGATAAGATGGGACAACGCCTGAATATTCGAGGTCAAGATGAATGGATTCCTGGTGGCCACAATGCTAAATGTCCCTATGACCGCAGTGACTGACCAGGAACAATGCTCAGCCTGACACTAGTGAGCATTGATAATAACATAGCCGCAAGTGAACATACTGTCTGAAGGAGGAAATACCACATCAATGATTTAGCGATTCCTGGCAAGATGGTGTCCACAATAGTGGTCCTCGGGGGCCCGAATAGCGCAATTTCCACGCCTAGTATAGCCAATTGAGTGACCACCACACGGAATGCAAGCGGGCATATGATATGCCCACTAGCAATAGATCTACGGAGTGAAGCGCGCTTGCCAGACTTGGACTGCCGCATCAAAGCGAGGTAAACAGCCAGCAGTCCCACCACTGGAATCCCCGACAGCGCACTGGCTTGGAGATCCCAGTTGGTCAGCGTGATTATACAGAGCACAGCAATAAAAGCTGGGATCCAGACTCTGTCTTGGCCTGACGCAGATCTTACCCCCGCCTGAGTCCCACTTTGTTCGATGTACGTTTGCACTGCAGCCAACAGAGGACTCAGTGCTGGCTGTAATATCAAGACAAAGTTAGCTTCGGAGACTTTGTCCTTTCAGGAAGGAGTAAGTGACTCACAAAAAAAGTAATTATTCCAAATTCGGCTTGATAGAGAGACGCTGAAGACACGGCCAGAGCAACTGCCCACAAGGATACACCAGATACAGGTGTATGCTCTACTGGCCCTGGCAATGTTGCCCTTGAGCAGCTGCGAGCCCGTGAATTTCCCCAGTAATGGTGGATGGCGGGCAATATCATCCACGAAAGAGCCTCAGACAAGAGTTCACTTTCTCTTGTGAACAGATGATGCCTCAAGAGGCTGCTTGATATCGCGGCACCTGCTAACTGGGTGATTGGATCAATGTGCTGAAATGGTGATTTCCACATTGTCACAATGTCAGAGAGCTGTATGCGTAGCTCATAATCATATCATCATGGTCATTATAAACAGCAGCCGTGACAACTCAAGAGGACACTGATGTTGAGATAATCCAGCATGCTGACAAGGAAAACTCTCTGTCCATTATTTCCACGCAGCAGGGTCCAGCAACAGCTGTTTGGGCCCCAAATTGTTTCATAACTCAAAGCGGTTATAGCCGCCATGGTCAGTTTCTTTCAAGCCACCGACGGTCCGTCCTGCTAGCGTCCATGTCAATCATCAATTCATCGTTCCGGTTGGCCGTTGAAATTGGAGCTGGAAGTCCCCGGATAGCTTCCACCAATGGTTCATTTTCCACATTAGGCTTCCATAAGGTACCGCTACTTACAGGCATTGCTTCTATCCACCTGCAGTGGACTAATACTTCTGACAGGATCAATCCTTGCGTATTTTCGACGGCACTGCCCGATATGAGACGGAGATGTAGGCTGAGTGAGACTGTCCCTAGGTCTGCTACTGCTTTCAATTCTTCTTCCCGTCAACTCAAAACCAAAGTACCACAATCACATTTCCAGAATTCCCTAGCAAGTCTTCATTCCACCATCAAAATGCAGTTCTCCTCCATTGTTACTGTGGCCATTGCTGCCCTCCTCACTGCTCCCTCTCTGGCCTGCAAAAACTTCTCACCTCCGAGGCCCTGTCAAGGCACCCAACTAGCAATTTAAGGCACTCCAACCCCAGCGAGAAAGGTGAGACAATAACGCATCCTTTGTCAAAGGGATTGGTGGACAATCGCTGTCGTGGAAACACTAGTAAATACTACCTCTTGGCACTCAGGGACTAGAATCAGACCTCCACTGTGATTCTGGAGTACCAAGCCGTGCCTAGCCATATATTAATAGAGATCCCTGCTGTATATCAGATCAGGACATTAATCCACTCAGCCTCGGTTTAGACAATGATCTGGCCGGCCAAGTATATGCGTTCCATGAGACGACTCTGAGTGTGCCATTTCAATGCATAACACCATGCTGGACTGGACTTCTCCGGAGCTAACTGCTTCGCAACATCTGTCATATATACGAGACCTAAAGGCCTAAAGTTACAAGGCTACATGCGAAGGAGAGCATAGCAAAACGTCAACCAGACAGGCAACAGCTGCAAATTGTGGACATTACGGCGGAGTCATATTCTCTGTCCGATCTCTGTCGATACGGTACCTCAAGAGCGTGTTACTAAGTGAATGCTGTCAGACCACCATCTACAGAGGTCTAGATGTGGTGCCTGTATTATTGAAACTGCCTGATATAGGTACATGTGTCTTACAAGGTACATTGAGTGCTCCAGGATAGCAAGGGAAGAAAGTCCGGCACTCCGGGGTCAAAGAGCAATATGCATGAAGACTTCATGAACACTCCATTAATGACCTGGACAGAAACCCTGTGAATGCAATTCTGAACTGCCCATATGCGCTGGCTATCTGACCAATGGGATAAATATTGCATTATTTTCTTGTTGGTTCTGAGTCTTCAGTCAGGCTGGATGGGATCTTCCGGAGAACAATGTACGTCCTCTACAGAGGTATGAATGAAGTTGAAGACGCTTTTCGTGACTTTCGTCGCAACTCCAGTGGACAATCACAAGCTGTCTGTCGGATGACTTTGGACGAGTCTTCGCCTATCAACGCCAGAGCGAATCGGCTCTGGGAGATCTTAAGAGCCGCCATACTGGCCACGAGAAGGACTATACCGCCAGACTGACTGCATGTATATACACACACTAGGGACAAAACCCCCTCATTCAAGCCTGCAGGAGAGAGGACCAATGATGACTTGTGTATCCAACATTATACAAGGGCTGGATTCGAATCAATTCACCATGCAGAGCTGACTGTAGCGAATCCTTCACGATTTCACCGTCGGAGAGACCGACTAAGGTGTCGCATTATTGCATCTGACGATGAAGTTCACCGAGTTCAAGCAAGTTCATGACTGACAGGCGGACTGGAGCCAGCCCAACATCCCACTCATCGTGAAGTATAAAAGCCCCCTTCCGGTCTGCTACTGTTATCAATTCTTCTTCCCATCAACTCAAGCCAAAGAACCACAATCACACTTCCAGAATTCCCTCAGCAAGTCTTCATTCCACCGTCAGAATGCAGTTCTCCTCCATTGTCACTGTGGCCATTGCTGCCCTCCTGACCGCTCCCTCTCTGGCCTGCAAATGCTACGTGAACGGCAACCGTGACGACGGCCGTACCCATTCCTGCTGTGACCAGCTCCGCGGCATTTTCCGTTTTGGCAACGATTGCCAGGCGGGATCCATCTCTGAGCACCTCTCCAACTTTCGCAGATGCTGCGGCGGGTCATCCGACTGCGACTATCCCGGTCTTGCTCTGGAGGAGACCGAGGTGGACTATATCAAGACCATTGTTGCTCTTCCTACCGCCGTGGCGTCTAACTAGACTCCGAGATTCACTCCTGGGTTATTTCGTGACATAACGACCATTCATTTTTGGACCTCAGAACAAATGGTGTGCTCCGATATGCTCGAGATGATTTGTTGGCTCGCAAGGAGAAGTGAGAGGAAGGTGTCGAGTTAAGGATTGGATGCGTTTATACATGGTGATCACTCTTTACCGTCAGCTTGTGTACATGGATATGCCAATTTCAACACACATGTATGTAGGCTGATCTCGCTCGCTTGAAGAAATGAAATGAAAAAACCGACTGGACCTTGCACCAGAAAGAGATTATTCATCACTTGAGTATACACCACCTCTCCCTCGCCCTTTACCCCTACTTCAGAAGATTCATTAGTTCAAATATGAGCCCATAGTTGGACTTAGACTCACTCAAGCTACATAGTTTCATTTCTGTGAACAGTGATTCTAAAGTATGATTCATTCCCTAGATATAGATGGTCATGTTACGCTGTTCTTCTCGCAGCTGAGGTAGACTCATATTGTGATTCCCCCCCCCCCCCCCCCCCCGAAAGTCACAACTATTTAGGTATAATAGACTGAATTCAAAGGTCCGATTTTCTTCAGTAAATAGACGAAGTAATAATGAACACTGGTTACTATACCTTACTACCATATATTGTCATGTCTCGTAACTCTATGGGCCACTATGGGAGCTTGGATTTTCCATGAAAATGCGAACAAGGGGGGAAGATAGGAAGTAGAAAATTTTTAACATCTGGAGTATACTCATGGAACTCTCTAGTGCTTTGTTCAGATTGGTTATTTGTTTAGGTTTCCCATAAGCTAAACTGTAGAGTTAGGACAAGATGTGAGCAAAATGTCATTATCAACCGCACCTGCAGTAAGAATGAATAATAGAAAATTGCACCAACATGGGTTCATCATCTTCCCAACTCTACTCGGCGAAAAATAGCGGACCTCCCAGGACACGTGTCTCTTCATGATTAAGACCACCGTACATGCTTGCCCCAGCAACAGTTCATGACGATGCGACGCCCCCTGCCGCACATGATGAACAAGTATGCGCCCTACTCGAGGAGTGCATGGAGGGGACAGTATACCAGCAACACCACATGCCATACCGACGGTCCAGCAGGCCGCAAAGCCTAACAAGCCAGCTGTTGCGACTAGATTTTCTTCCGTTCGCAAAAGCCCAGCGAACCTAAGGTCCAGTCCCTGTGATTTATGACAAAGCTGGGGTCAGACAAAATCAACCTGTCGATGCCTTTGCCCGGTGATTTTGAGTGGGAGGAGACCGTCATAAAAGACAATAGGATGGTCTATGGCAAGTGGGCTGTAGGCTGGGATGAGAAGGTGAAATTGTGCGCGGTGCGGCCATAGGAGGTTAGCTGACTGATGGTCTTTCTATCGGTTCTCATCCACAAGCAGATTACGTCCGGAGAACGGTGGTAGCCGCCGAACTTGGGACCAAGAGGGGTCTCCCTGTTCTTTTCCTCAAACACATCATGCCAGTCAGTGTCTAGATGCCACACATAAAAGTAGTGGTGCTGTGAGTCACTGCTCTTCTGCCTGTTGAGAAGCGGCTTGGGTCATTTGATTCTGTACAAAACGATACACACGAATCGCCTCCTGACTCGAACCGACCTTCTTGATAGCAGCACTGATGTCTCCCCTCCCCTTCCCAGCGGGAGATCATTTCCAACTCCTAGGGGTTAGTCGCATCAGCTGACTTTCGTTATTGGCGCATCGTTAAATCTAGACTAGACGGTAGATGCAGGCTGCACCACTACCTTGACCTCAGGGACCTGGACCGCGGACACTCAATCTGGATGCGAACGGATGGCCGATCCCAGTTTCTTAAACTACACTTGGACAAGTGCTAGGCCATCAACCGCATCCACGACCACAACTTCCACAAGGGAGGTATCACATTAAAATACAAGTTGGCCACCATACAGGGGCAGTCAGCTTTGATTGAAGCTGGAACTAAACGGGAAAATACATACAGCAGCATGTCTATGTTGGTGCTCACCCATCCCAGCGTCTGCTCCCTCGCCGCTTTGCTGCCCAAGTTCCGGTACCTTCAGGTGAATATTCAGGTACCTGAATATTCTGCACTCAAGCTAAAGAGTCACATTTTGGCAAATAGGCAAGTCAACGGCCTTATAGAGGAGATAAAACCCATCATGTGTCCATCTTACTCTATCTCCATTCCTTCCTCCATACTCCAGGTTAATCGGACAATATGCCACGAGATCCATCATATGCCAAGGAATTGCCGGAATATGTGCCCCAGCGTCACGTCTCGCAAGAGAATCTTGCAGTAGATGTATGCAATAAGTAATGTCCAGATTAGCCTAATATTTAGAAGAGCATGTGATTTACTTATCACTGTATAGGCTCCATAGAAAACTTAAGAAGTCAAAGGCACAAATCAACGACTGGACATAGCATATAATTAAATAAGAATAGCTCTATTATGAACAAATAGCTAGAGCCCTGACTGTACAGCAACAGAAGTATCACTAAGTACTCAAGACATTAAACTATGAGCAGCCTCAAGATATTAATCTAGGTTGTGTACTAGGGACATGCTTATAGGCTTTGCAAAATCCATATTATCTCTGCTGGTGGATAGTCGCTGTAATTATCTTCTATGGATATCAGCTGACCCTAGCTGTGGAAAATTGGTTCTGGCTAGATGACTTCGAAGCATCAAGACAAGGACAATGGTGAGCAGAATAATCCTGCTACTATACTATATGCCAAACTTCATCAGCTCTTTAGCCAGCAGCTAAATCACCTACGGCATGCCTTATCATCCTGGGAAAGGAATGGGAACAAGCTCCAGCAAGAGGCTGGCGAACTTTGGCGGATATTTATAGCGGCCACATCAGATCATATGGCCAGAGAGCATACCCTTGTGTGGTTTCATTCATTATTCAGGCTCTGCAGAAAATGTCGGAGTACGCCCTAATAATATCTGCTGCAATGCACGTTTGATATTATTTGCCTGGCGGGACCAAGCCTTGTCATGATTCAGGATCCTAACGGTTTCCCTGAGGATGCGGGGAACGCTGTCCTGGCCGTTGAGCACTCCAAGTCCAGTGATATGAAGTTGCTCGCGCATTTCAAATGCGCCCGCTACCCACTTTTCTTGTACATCCTCATTCATATTTTGGTCGATTCGGAAAATCTCCTCCGGGCCTCTATCAGAAGGATATCGCGACTTGTCTGAGATAACAAATCGGTCGTAGTTCCAGATGTATAGAACAGCCATGAGCAGGATAAAAGAGTCGTAGGGGTCGAATTGATGTTGGCATCGGATTGTTCGGAATAACTGGGCAGCATGTACAAGACTTTGGCGGGCCTGTTTAGGTTCTGCGTGAAGTAACTGTTTAATATGCTGTTCCGCGGCCTGAACTTCCTGATTCTGAGCCATCCACCCCGAGGAGATGTACAATTGACGATACTGGATAAAGCGGAGTAGTCTCAGAACAAGAGAGACTTTCGTCACCGTGGAAAGAATAGTTCCGTCTTTAACACGTCGGGTAGCAGCTTGCTGCAAACGTGCAATGATGGCGTCAATGGCATCCTTTCCATGCCCTGGAGCGCGCAAGCCCCCCGTAGAGAATGTTGTCCAATAGTCTCGAGTACTATGCATATCGGAAAATAGGTGTAATGATTGCTGTTGAGAAGCGTGCTTCTCCGCAACATACACCGCAAATACCGATATCAGAAGTGCTGAGTCACTCAATGAGCGGATATACTCTGTATCAACCACTTCCATCTTAAGCAAGCAAGTGATGCTGAGGCGTTCATCTGGGTCTCATAGGATCGTATTAGTCAACGGGCAACTGTCAGCTTGGATAGATGGCACAAATCACCTCTCTGTAAGTCTCTGGCCAGCTCCCAGTCATGGAAGTTTGAGGACTGCCAGAGTTTATCATCACAAGGCATGCTGAGATGCATCTCCCCAACCGTGATAAGCGGGGGAAGATCGAACAAGACCAATTGAAAGCATTCGATCACTGGAGAGGTTAAGTGTCAGTTGTGATGCAGCAGATACAGAGAACAAGGTCAATGCACAAGACTCTACTTACGCCAAGTAAAGTATACGACTCTCTTCCAAGACTCCGCCGCTATCCACAGACTCCAATCCCCAGGCGAGAGACTAGTAGCTGATAACATGCGATTCCTTGCGAAGAGAACGCCGGGGACCAGGAGAGGGCGGCACGTCGTGACCAGCACATTTCGTTGGTATTGCAAGTGCATTATACCTTCACGCGCTCCGCCGAAGAGAAGAGCGATATTGAATAAGAGTGTTGCCTGCGCAAGTTCAAGGTTGTTTTGGAACGACAAAGCCGAGTTGAGCTAGTGCTAAATATTAGACAACGGTGACCACAAAAATATATAGGGAAATGTATATTACAGATACTGTTCGAAGTAAAGACAATCGAATAGCTTTAACCAGGTCGGAGAATATTGTGTTCCGGATTGAAAGTCGGGAGTACTGACTCCCAAGGGCAGAAACAGCGAGATAAAGGAGCCACGAGGAGGGTCGAGCTTCAAAAGTACCTTTGTGGAGAATTGGAAACCCTGGGTGAAAGTGCTCGAAGTACAGCTGTGTACATACATGAAGAATGTCCAAAGAATAGAGCCTTGGAAGTGATGCTTCTGGTGAAGACTGGCTCACCTCTGCATAGAGAGCACAGATCCTTTCATACACCAAAACGGAAGGCTTGGGAACATGTCTGTGATCTTCAGATATTAAAATGTCGCAGTCATCCTCTGTGAGAGCGGTTTCTGGTACATAGATGTTCGACTGGGTACTGGAGGAGGGCCGAGGAGCCTCCACAGCGTGCATTGGCAACCCTTGTTGGAATCTTGTGAGCTCCATTTCATTCTCGGCTCCAGACATCCTTTTTGTTGGTTGATTCATTGTCCCTGCAATACTAGAAGGCGTTTGAAGACTGGAGGGGTCAGTCAGAGCAATATCAGAAAGCTCGAATGCATCATCCAGGGGCCAGAGAAGGAATGAGTCAAAGATAGAAGTGGCTTCGCAGTACGGTGCGGTTTGTCCTGCCTGGGTTGGGGAAGCAAGGTCCGCGTATGGCCCACCAGTAAAGTCGACATTGCCTTGGCCCAGGGGATCCGCAGAGATTGCATTTATAGGAGATCCCTCTGCTGCATGAGATGGCTCGGAAATGTCGATAGGCTTTGAATTATCATTTGTTTGATAATTCGTCCGTTGTCCGCTTGTGTCCGGAAGAATCTTGCATCCTTGCAGCGCCACTTCCGTGGAGCCTTTGGTGAACTGACAAGGCCAATCTTTATAATTGCAGCGATCACAGGGCTGAGATCCAGAACAGCGCTGTTTTGATTTGACACAATTGATACAGGCGCGGGTTGCCCTTGGGAGGGTCCTCCGAGCTTTGGTTGATAACTGCCCATGAATTGTTGAATGACGTTGCAATGTATCTCTAATGTGAATTACAAGACTGCCTGCACAGTGGCCAGATACCACGGGAACTTACCTCCTCGCAAATCGCTTACCACACATTTCACATTTAAAATCCTTTCTTTCAGAGTGGCTGTTGAGATGTCGCTCATGATGCTCGCGGCGCCGGAAGGACGTAGAGCAGATGCTACAATTGTACCTTCCCGGTGAAGAGGGGTGCTCATTCGGGTTTGAAGGCGAAAAATTCGCCATTATGAAGATAAAGGGCAGTACATACCTATTCAATCGAGGCACCAGATGGGAAAGACATTGAAGTCGAAACTCGAAACTTGGAGCATTGTCATTGCTGAGTCAGCGGAAGTAAAAAAGCCGAAAAGCAGGGAAACATGGTTTCACCTCCCTGTTACATGCATTTTCCTCCCGAGCAATTACCTTACTGACATCTGGATTCTGGACCTAATTATGGATAAATTAAGCTGTTGCATAGACACTTGATCGTTGACCAATCAGGTAGTCAGGGTCAACAAAAGCTGTCACACTGTAAATGGCTCTCTCTCTCTCTCTCTCTCTCTCTTTCTCCTTGTCCACGTCTCTTTAGCTTGGATAACACAGTAAGCAGCTCCTTTTCTTTCCTTTTCTCAGCTTCAACTGACACATAGCCGAACATCAGGTAGATTCCTTTTTTTCGCAGCGGGAGGGTGGGGGTTGCAGACTACATGGATTGACAACACTTCAGGCCTCTTGATCTATTCCTTGAAAGATTCCTCCCGGGCTGTCGAAGCGCATAAAGGTAAACAACACCACCGAGCAATTCAAGGGGTACCCGGACCGCCCTCCAGGCTACTTTTGTCGGGCTGTCGTCCATTATTGGCGAGGTCTGAACACCACAGGCAAGCCAGGCTTTTCGTACTGTAGGGTAAAGCGATCAAGAGCCTTGGGCGCGCCATGACCCTTACGAAGGCTCAGCTCATAATTGCGGAAAATGTAGGCAAATGTGAGTGTTATCTCTGCTGGTGCAACACTACAAAAATATATGTGTGAGCAGGCAAGTAATGACATGGGTACACATTCTGAAGATTTGAAGGTTGGTAAAGGGTATCAGAACTCACTTTTGTCCTAGACACATACGTGCACCCTTTGAAAATGTGCTTAACCATTGCTCCAACCCTTTGGATGCGGGCCCGATCCAACGGTCAGGGTTGAACTGGCGGGCGTCGGGCCCCCAGGCATCCACGGAATTGTGCATGGTGTACGCTGACATGCTAACGATAGTCTAGAGACCACGAGCAAATTATTTACACGGTTAGCATTTCTTCTCCAGCTAAGCGACCACTTTGTATCCTTCTGATGAAACTTACACCCGGTGGCACAACTTTCCCCTCAACAATGAATGGGTCCCCAGCGGGAACAACACGGGGTAGACGACCAGGTACCGCCATGCCAACCCTGATTGATTCCTTGACACATGCCGTCTGGTACAACGTCAGTTATTTGAAAGGGGTCGTAGAGGATTTATATATTCACTTACCAAGTATTCCACCTTCTCCAGGGATTGGAGAGGGATAAACTTCCCCGCTTCTGGCATCGCCTCGTCGATTGCCTGCACCAGACGCTCTTTGATCTTTGGATTGGAAAGGATGTGATAGAATCCAGTTGTAAGCGTTGAAGCCGTGGTATCGGCACCGGCGATGAGAATGTCCATGGCCTCAGAAACCTTAGCATCGTCTGAGATTGACTGCAGGCTATCGAAAATAACAGGATACTTGGAGCCCCCTGAGGACTTCTGCCAGTGTCGCATGCAACTTTCTGCGTACTTGATACCACTGTCAGCCTTACTGGTTTAACAGCGATGGAGATTCACGATATACCTTCTGAAGGTTAAGGATAGAGCCAAGTTTGGGACTCAAAAACTCGACAGCACTAATCGGAAGTACTTTCACGAGTTGGCGGAGCAGCGCATTATACTGTAAATCCACCACACTTTGGGAGGCAACATCGAAAGCGTCAAGGAACCATGAATCCAGGTCATTACTCTTCTCCTCGATGAGGTTAGCCGATTTGGCGAAGGCGAACTCCGTGATGATATCTGTCGTCAGGAGACTAGCCCAAACAGTGAGAAGAGAAAACCAAGTAGCGTCGAATAGAACACAACTCACCGAACTGCGTTGTGAACATCAATCTCCTTGGAACCACACAGTCGACTGATTTTGGACGACAGAAGGTATATCTTCTCTTGAATGAGCGGTTCTAACCTGTAAACTCCAACTTTTGAGAACAAAGGGTTCAGCATGCGACGGCGCTCCTTATGCAAACGAGGGTCGAGTTCAGCGAAAACAGTATGGGGTGTATTGAATCCATTATAAAACGGAGCATGCTTGAGAAATGGCTTAGACTGATTATAGATCACTTTGTAAAGCTCAATATCAGTGATATGAAGCTCATTCGGTCCAATTCGGAGCGCCTTTGTGTCTGTGTTGTAAAAAGAATGATTAGCACCACCGTCAATGGCTGATACAATCCATGTCTGCTTAGCAGCAAAGTGGCTAATCCATACTGAACTTTTGGTGAAGAGATTCGAACGTCTGTTCGGCAGTACCGTCCTTCGTAACCTTGTAAAGCCAGTTCTCCGATACACATGCCTCCGGACGGCCCTTGAAAGATTTCAAAGGATGCATGTGTATGCGATATGTCCGAAGAGCCAGTTTGGCAGCAACCGCAGAAAAGACGACCAGGGCTACAACAGCTATCATCCCTGGCGAGAGTATACTGGAGATTCCCCAGGTAAGGGTTACAGTTGACTGGCCTGGCATTTCCTCGTACGGTGGCGTTCCAAAGTAACCGTTGCGAGACGGAGAAGCCCAACCGGTAGAAATCAATCTCGCTTTTTATGCTTGTAGGGGATTCAAGCCGCCTAGTACGAATTGCGAGATATTATTTGTTAGCTTCCTTCTACGACGGAAGTAATGAAGGTAAGTATACCCACCCATCGGCCCCGTCGGCCCCGCCGCACTTCCGCTGCGGCACTGGCTACTAGCCTACCCCCCTCGCCGTGGGCCCGTGATATCCGATGCCCAGGGATCAGGGCTTTACCAGCTATGTCGATAAGAGTAATATGTGCTCAAGCAGAACTTCAAATGTGAAGAAAAGAATGGAGGATGAACGAATTGTTTAATGTAGGATCGAAGCTGGAAATGGCTGACTCTATGGAAGCTATGTGAGTTGAAGCTATCTGGAGTGCATATAGCTGGGCAATATAAACATGCTGACGAAGACTTTTTGTGGGCACCAAATGCTAAATAGCTAAGTTTGTTATTTTACCTGAAACATGTATTTACTGATTGTAGCAGAACTGGGAGTAAATCTAGGTTAGACACATGGTATGATAAGACATGAGCTATCATCCCCTCCTGCAAGGCAGTGAATAATGTGAGTTCCAGTATTTTCTCCACGCAAGGCTCTAACACCAGGGATTGGGAATAATATCACTGGATTACCTGCGACAGTGATCTCCAGAATATCATCTTTCTGGAAGTCCTATATTTAACGAATGAATCCTATAGGTAATGTAGATTTCCTGTGGTCTTGCACTTACATTCCAATACATGCCATAGGGACGTAGCGGTAGCTCTACAATTCGGACCTCGTCCTTGGTCAATGGAACACGTTCGGTATGGCAATGAAGTGGTTCAACAGAAGTCGAAAGTTCACTTCTTTGTTGGCCATGACCGACTCGTAGCTGGCCACCTGGTCCCAATGAAACAGCATGCCGACTCCCTTGAGGCCGACTTGCCAGTCATGAAGATATTTCAACAATTGAGCACAAGAACGTTATCCGGCCGAATGGTGAGGACACCTTGCTTGTACGAAGACCGTCCTCGAAGACAGCAAACCTGAACAAACAAGTCCATGTCAGCTTCGGATGAGCAGGATACTGCAAGTCGGGCAACAAAATATCCCGTAGTCTCCAAGTCATGCGGAATGCGATATTGAAACGCGGCCTTCCCATTTTCCCCATTATATGTGACTCGACTCGGCTGACCTAGCGGCGATGGGCTCAGTTTCTGATCTGGGGTCAGATAGAGCTTTTGGTACTTGGTCCGAGCCAATGGCCAGTCCGCCTCTGCCCTATTAGTGGTATCATCCAAGCCAGAAAGCCCAAAGTTCAAAACACTGAGTCGCACTTTCGGCGTTGCCGACCAGGGATTGTCAATGCTTCCCTTCAGAAAATAGTCAAAAAATCGCTTGAGATCACGGTAACTGGAGTCGGCATAATAGTCAGACCATTTCATAGAGATATGTATTCGAAGCCACTTTGGGACAAATTCAGGGATGGCTCGGAAAGCTCTCAATGTTCCCGGTGTATGAATAGGGTTCGTCCATGAGCCAACTACATACGTTGGAACGTTGATCTGCTCGCATTTAGACCTCTTATCTTCCCAGTATTCGTTCCATAAAGGATAGCTCCTCACGGCTCCAGAGACGTCTTCGAGCTTGCCGTAACTCGCGAGGGTATCTGTTTCTCATCAATGCTGCAATGGGAAGAGTGGTGAACCCAGAATGGACTTACCGGCTACGGAGTTATTGAACTCGGGAGACGGAGTTCCGCCTGGACACATGACGTCGCGATACATGTCCTGCATTCCTCCCTGGTTGATAGATGACTTGAGTTATTTACTGCTCAGCCAAAGAGCCCTAGGTATCATCCACTCACCATGGTGCGAGTGCTGCTAGGCCTTCAGGCCGCAGACTTCCGATCTTCCACTGCGACATAGCCAGCCAACTGTTTCCGGTGAGGCCAACTTTACCATCGCACCAGGGCTGCTGAGATAGCCAGGTCACGAACTCTGCTCCATCTTGAGCTTCCTGGTGTCCCGTTATCAAGAGGTCCCCCTCGGATGTATAAGCTCCCCGTGTATCAACATTCACAACTGCGTATCCCTCCGCACACCAGAAGGCAGGGTCGGGGCTTTCCCATTTATGCAGACCCGACACCCAATGCTTTGGGACGCCAGCGCGGAATGGAAAGTCGTCCAAGAGAGCTGTGCCTATCTGCTTGCCATATGGACTCCTGGAATTGGCCCCATTTAACTATCATATTAATAGCGAGGCAGTCTCTTGCAGGTCTCTCTCAACGCTAGAGGCAATAGAGTGAGTAACAGCTTACCAGGCAACTAAAGCGGGGATCTTTTTGCTCGTGTCAACGACTGCGTGAACCTTTCAGACCTTTTCTCATTTCAATGAGATGCACCATTTCAGGCTGGCGGGCATGTTATATAGGCATTTACTTCAATGACAAGATGCATTGCGATGTCATGATACAGTTGCTTAAGTTCTTGATGTACATATTTATGACATCTTATAATCCACAGAGTGTAACTGTAGAAGTTCTAGGCCTTGATCTGTAAGATATTACTACAGTTATGAAGTGTTTTAAGAGGCTATGTGGTGGTTAGGGGTTATGCAGACTATCACAACAATCAGTATCCATAGCAATGTTCTCCCACTTAGGAAAAATTTAGATATAAGCAGTAATATCACACGTGGCAAAGATATACCGCCAAGATAAATAACCATTATTTGTGAGAACTGGTGATATCATTGTACCCTATCTGTGTCTATATTCTCTACTTTATTAACAGTGATTTGCTAGATATTTGGGAAGAGCGAGGTAGTCTGTCATTCTACTACCTTTCGTTTGGAAATTATCCCTGCTGGTGAATCTCTATTTCAACTGGGCGTTTTGTTTGGCTGGTTTGCAGGAAGGTCGAAGAAGTCCAGCTCATTCACGAAATAGTTAAAGCATCTAATGGTATGTACTGTACTGTTTTATCTGCTACACTTGTATGAATGCAGAATTACTACCTGAGCTTATTACAGACTAGTCCCCGGGTGTGGCGCCGAGAAAGAGCCAAAGAGTGCGAACTAAATCTGGGTCTTTGGGGGAACCTCGATATGATGTTTTGAACTGCAGATAAACTTTGTCTTGGCCTATATTATATCTGGTTCCGTGTGATCAAGTCTTCGAAGGCGGATATCGTTTCGACTGGTCAGTTGAGTAATTTCTGACCCCAAACAGGTGTGAACCAATTACCGAACAGCCATCCGCATCCACGGTCTCTCAGTGTCTCAAGTCACACTCCGCTTGCATGTAACCAATTGGTGTTAACTTGCACAACTGCTTAAACCTAATCTAGACCGAGGTGCCGTAGATGACCCGGAAAAGATGCATTCGGCTTCCTCATCCACCTGATGGTAACGCACTCACCAGGTAAATTCTCTCGGCCATATGGGCGGAACCCTTGAGTCCACTGCCGCATTTGCATAGCCAATAGATTGGTCGCGTTGCTAGATAGGCTTTATTAAGTTTCGCCAGTCAAAACTTTAAGAAGTTCGAGTCGGAACTTGGTCCTCGTCCCACATACCGTGCTAAGCAGCATTATCAGAGAGAAGCCTCGCTGCTGCATGAGTCTATTCTCTAACAAGTAAGAACAGTCAAGTTCATGCCTGGTGTGGGATCAAAAGCCTCCTATGCAGTATCCTGTTATATGATACGACAAGGTGAACGGAGCGGGGCCACCTATGGTATGTATGCCAAAGGATTCATTTTGTCATCATGACCGCCTTGGAAGGGGTCGCCCACGGGTGACCAAACGTTGCATGATCTCTGGCTTGCTCAGACCCCATGCACGCTTGTATGAGTGTAACATTAATAGCTCTGAGATTCTCGGACAGCACGCCATATCCTTGTCACGTCATTATATACACATTATATTGTTATGAAATAGATCGAGAGAGTAATACTCCAACAGCCACGCCTCGGTGTAGCAAAGCATCTATACTACTCAAGTTTGGTCATTACTGTACTGATCATCGGGCTTGAAAGTCGGAATTCTAAGCCCCCTCCTACGCAATCATGATGTTTGCAGTCGTTCTTCCATGTTAGAATGAGTTATGATATGTATATAGCGAAGGTCAAACAACAGTAGCCGCTTGGATGCAAGCTTCAGTCACGATTCCACCATTTGCCAGAAGCTATAGGACATACCGCGAGCGCTGGTTCACCAATTTCTAATCTAGTCAAGAAAACTCTTATGAAAACATGTCCGACGCACAGATACCATTATCTGATGTCACAGAGCAGCCCGTCCACAACTGGTGTGGAACATCACTGCTCCACCAGCATCTGCTGGCCACAGTTCCAGGATACAAATCAGCTCGACAGTTTGTCGAGCACTTCAATCGTGTTGCACTTCACGCACCTTCTTTGCGGACATCAGTCTTGCAAATTCCTGTTGTCGTCCATGTTGTATGGAACAAACCAGAACAGAACATCAGCCAGGCGCAAATCGACAGTCAGATCAGCGTTCTCAATGAAGACTTCAATGCAGCAAATCCTGATTTGGTCAACCTGCCGGCCGCATTTAGGCCGCTGGTGGGCAATCCTCTCATCAGATTCTTCCTAACCAAACGAGATCCCAACGGCAAACCAACGACCGGGGTGACACGTACTCAGACAGGAATTATATCGTTCGACCACAACAGTGCTACCGACCCGCCCGACCAAAGGGTGAAATTTACTGCCCAGGGCGGCGCAGATGGGTGGCCCAGCGACCGCTACCTCAACATATGGGTCTGCAAGCAGGGTGGCGTTAGACCCTTGCTAGGCTTCGCTCAGTTTCCGGGACTCCCAGCAACGACAGATGGGGTAGTAATCTCCCACACTGCTTTCGGAAAAGGGGGAACAGCTACTTCTCCGTTTGAATTAGGCCGTACTGCTACCCATGAAATCGGTCATTGGCTCAATCTCTTACACATATGGGGGGATGATGATGGGGGCCCGGCTGGATTACTCTGCTCAGGTACAGATCTTTGCAATGACACACCAAACCAGGCTGGCGCGAACCGCGGAAGCCCGACGTTCCCACATATCACATGTGGGAATGGACCTAACGGCGACCTTTTCATGAACTATATGGACTACACTAACGATTCCACGACGATAATGTTTACCAAGGGTCAAGTTGTCCGCATGGATGCAACTCTGTCCGGACCCAGGGCCTCGTTGGTAGGATCGAACTTTCAGAACTTTCTCTTACATACTGGTACCACCCTACATACTACTGATGAAACCTTTGCCTTTGCAATGGCCGACTGGAATGGAGACAGCCGTCCAGATCTAGTCGCCATTAAGAAGAGCAACACTGGCACAAATACTACTGAGGTACATGTTCTATCTGGGGCATCAAACTTTCAGGGTTTCCTCTTACATACTGGTACTGCCCTATATACTACTGATGAAACCTTTGCCTTTGCAATAGCCGACTGGAATGGAGATGGCCGTCCAGATCTAGTTGCTATCAAGAAGAGCAACACTGGTACAAATACTACTGAGGTACACATTCTATCCGGGGCGTCGAACTTTCAGGATTTCCTCTTACATACTGGTACTGCCCTACATACTACTGATGAAACCTTTGCCTTTGCAATGGCCGACTGGAATGGAGACGGCCGTCCAGATCTAGTCGCCATTAAGAAGAGCAACACTGGCACAAATACCACTGAGGTACACATTCTATCCGGAGCATTGAACTATCAGGATTTCCTCTTACATACTGGTACCGCCCTACATACTACTGATGAGACCTTTGCCTTTGCAATGGCTGACTGGAATGGAGATGGCCGTCCAGATCTAGTTGCCATTAAGAAGAGCAACACTGGCACAAATACCACTGAGGTACACATTCTATCCG